AAGAACACCAAAGTCTGGACTAAACCCTTCTTCTTGGATCCACTCCTCACTCTATTCTACTCAGTGTGTGGTTCCCCTGGAGCTGGGTGGATGACCACCCAGGTGGCCTGGTCTCACCCAGGACAACTATTCTGACCCTCCGACGCCTCCTTTCTTCTTAAAATTAGACATTTTATTCAACCTTCCCTGAGCATATGTTTTGCATGCCAGTGTTCCAGAATCCTCAAACAAATTAATAATTGAAATCAGCCCCTGCTCCTCTACAATCCGCACCCCCCTCCGCCTACCTAGCCTCTGTTCTCTCTTTTGTTCTGCCTCCCACACCAGCCTCTCTTCCTCCTCACACATGGGCATGGCTCAGAGTGGCCTCCTTTCTCTCCTCTTCTCCTTCTCTGACTATGCCCACTCCTCAAGGGCCTGTCCATTTCCACCTCCATCTCCACCTGCTCCCTGGTCTTAGGTTTTCCCATCATGGATGGACCTCTCCTAAATTTGGTGCTCTATCTTGGATGTGAGGGAGTCCCTTGGAATTTTGCAGTAACCCAACAGCTTTGGCCTGGCATTCCTCAGTCCCATCTCCCTCCCTTTATTCAAATTTCAATCAGATTAGTGATACCAACATTGAGCAATGACCAGACTTTAATTATGGGTAAGGAAATGATTTGTGAAATTTCAGAATAAACCTTGCCTCTTAGATAATAATAATAACCAATTAAGAATGACATCTCTGAAAATTAATAATTATTTTTTTCAATGAAAACAGATTGGAGTCATACTTTACTCAACAAAGATATTGAATGCTTTCTATGATCTGGAGATGAAAAAGATGTTCTTGAACTCAAAATGCATAACAGCCTACTAAAAGAGGTAGATGAGCAAATAACTAAATAATAATGACATAGTCACTGCAGTAGAGATATGATTTAGGTGGAGGAAAATGCAAAGCAACATATTACTTTGTCATAGCGCTATGATGGTATTTACTGAAAACATTAAAATAGTGTGTTTATGTCTGTCACTATAAATTATAGGTTTTTGAAAAATCAAACTATGTCTTTGATATCTTTGATATATCCAGCACCTAGAAAAATACTATGCCTTGCATACCATAATAACTCCATAAGTTTTGTCCTGAATTGAAATGAACTGCATTGTTAGTTATGCTTAGGGCAGAAGGAAGATTTGTGGATGGATTTTCAGAGGAGGTAACATCTGAACTAGATCTTAAAAGATAAGTTAGAATTTTCCATGAAGATAAAAAAAATAGAATAGGATTTGTAAGACCACGGAAAATGTGATATAATAATAGCAATAATAAAAGCTAACGATATGCCAGAAACTCTGCTAGTATGCATTATCATTTAATTCTTACAGCAACCATACATAGGTTAATTTTTTACAGATGAAGAAACTGAGGCCCATAATGGTTAAAAAGCATATCCAATGCCACCCAGTGAGTGCATTTGTACTCCAGGGACATCCATGATTCTCTGACTCCAAAGCCCATAAATGAGGTAACATTTCACACTCATGTGGAACTGAGCCAACTCCAGTGTCCTGCCAACCCAGTATCTATGGTCACCCATTGTCTCACCACTCTCCAGAGTGGGAGTCCATCTGTGGCTTCACGCTTGAGATACTAATATTTTCATGATATAACTTTCCTGACAACCTCTCTTGGAATCTACCTCATCTTTGCTTCTCTCTGCTATTGTTATTCTGTTCCTACTGATTCCCACCCCTCTTCTATTTTCACCCCTCTTCTCACACTGTTAGAGTAGCTCTCTGGGATAGAGAAAACATCTGTGGTCACCATATGTTGGTTTAAGGTGTCCAGCACCCAACTCCCATTGACTGTCCAATCTCTTTTATAGGAAATGCCCTGCTGTATATCTGTATGTCAGTATAGTGACAGAACCATGATCCACGCAGTAGTCATGAGCCAGTGCCTTCTCTCCCTCCCCATCCTGGCTATGGGATAACAAGTCACTTGGCCTAGGACAGCCAGACCAGTACAGGGACCACTGCATCGAAGGAGCAGCAGTGAGCTTAGCAAGCTGAACCTCTCTCTCACCTGCGGAACTTTTGCTGCTCACCTACCTGCAAAACCCCCAGAGGACTTTGATTTCTATCTCTTTTCTAAGCATCCTCCAAAATCCTGTAGATCTGTGAGCCACAGACCACCACCCAGTAAATTTCCTACTGAGAAAAAAATTAGCCAGAATCATTTTCTATTGCTTGCAGACAGGAGCTCATACAGAACTCAGGCACCAGGTAGTTTTAACCCAATCATCCGAGCTACTGAAGCCAGAATTAGACAGGCAGATAGGCAAGGGTCCAATCCATAGAATGGAGGGATTAAAATGTTAATTCTTCCTCCACCCTTATCAAGATAACCTGCCCTGCTCCAACCTGTTACTAAGGTAACCTGTCCAGGGATTGTCCCTCCCTAGAAGGAGTTACAAAGGTTCCTAATTACACCCCCTTGCTGGCCAGATCACTTCACCTTGATCCCTTCAGTCCATCTGCTTCTCACCTTTGGGTCATCCCAAATAGCATCTCTTGGGCCTAGTCACTTATGCAGGAAGGAGAGAGATAAAGGAAAGAGAGCAGGAGAACAAAGCCTAGGACACATAAAAAGGCTCACTTCTTGAGATACCAGAGTACCAGCTATGACCCCCTTCTCCCTTCTGGGAAAAGTCTATGTTGCCCTTTTAAAATAAACCCTGCTTTGTATGCTTGCCTTGGCATGCTTCTTCAACATGTGAGGAAGCAGAACTTGTCACCGATGACCAGCAGTATCACTACTGGTACCAGTATCACTACTGGTCTATGGCCCCTATCCACAATCCAATTTGCTGAGGACACATAACCCAAATCATGGCAACTTCTATACTAAGAGCCTTTTATAGCCTCTATGTTGAGGAGGAAGCTGTCATTTGATGCTTAGTTACAGACCCTAAGTCAAGATTCTAGGAGAGTTTGTTATATGTTTATATGCTAAGGGGATTGAGACAGTGACAGTGGAGGATTAAAGATACATGAGAAAGAAGAGATGAAGCCAGGGCTCTGAAGAAATGGGTGGGAGGTGAAAGCACTGGTCTTGGAAAATAAGGGGAGTCACCTCTCCCCACGCTGGCAAAGGGAGATAAGGGTGGAATTGCAGAGGTAAGTACATTTAGTAAGTGGAAAGGACTTGAAAGAGCTATTGTAAATAGATCTGTCCCCTGTGTGATATAAGAGCCAAGGTCATCTGCTGACAGTGAGTGTAGGGAAATTGGGGGAGGATTTGCAGAGATGAGTGAAGACTTGGAAAAGCCACAATGAGAAATAAGAGAGGGAGCCTGCTGGGAATTGGCAAAAGGACCTTAAGCTGCACAGAGGCAACTTTTTCTATCTGCATTTGCTAATAGCAATTAACCACTCTGTGGACACTTTTTAAACAAAGACTCTGACAAAGGACACACAAACCTTCTCTGAGACTTTTTCAGTGCAAATTCAGGGACTTGCAAACTCAAGCAAATTTCACAGGAGAGAAAAAATATCTTTAACCTAGTTTTTTAAATTTTGGGATTGTATAGCTTTAGAGCTACTTAGAGTGAGCTCCTTTGATGGCCCAGGAGGAGATAATTATTGGGGACTACAGAAAGTTTGAGACAATAGAAATTTGTTCTCAAGGAATCCAGATTTTGTTTGATTCAACATTTTTTTTTTTTTGAGATTAAGAAGTTAGTCAACTTTGTACACAAAAGTATGAAGGAAAAAATAGACAAAAGGCTTTCAGGGGTCTCATAGAAGTATTAAGTAGTGATAAACAATTTTGTTTACAGCAGTCTTTATTATTATTGGTAACCACCAAAATAAATAAATGTTGTTTGGTCTGAAGGTGCAACTCAGTTGTAGAGTACTTGCCTACAATGCAGAAGGCCCTGGGTTTGATCCTCAGTACCACACACACATACACAAAAGTGAGGTGGGGGTGAGTTTCTTTGAAGTTGAATAAACAATGGAAGCCCATCTCTAAGTCTTTGAAGATAACATGGTTTGGGTGTGGTCCATGTGATGATACATGCACAAAGGATTAATTCTTCACGTGTCCCCTCTGCTGGCTCTGGTAAGCAACTGAACTGATACATAAATTGTAGACTTCATTGTAGCTTGCCAGTTAGATTTGTGAAGGAAAAATGTGCTTCTGTCACATTATAGGAAAATGAACAACTGCTCTGCATCAGCTGGCCTGTCCTAAAAGAAGCTAGCATCTGGATAAAATTCAACTAGCAATTTTAGCTTTTGTTGCATTTTGAATAGAAATGGTTGGCTGAGCCACTACCTATTTAAATTACTGAAAGCTGGTGATTACAAATAAGCCTCCTGGCTGATAATTAGAGTGGCAGCAGACATCATTCAGAATATCAAGAGGTTGGACAGGATTCCAGAAGTCGTTTTCCCTCAAACTGAGTGGTGCAGACAAAAGCAGTTGGATCTTCAAAAAACAAGTACTCTTAACTATTGTACTCACGGATGAAGCCCGGACAGACGTGGGTTAATTTATTCAGCTCTTCAGAGGCTTGAAGGTTTCATATTCAGCAAAGATGAGGCACCATGGAAATTAAAATTCATCATCTTTCTTTTGTTTTTTTTTTTAACACCCAAAGCTTCACATCCTTAAAAGGATGATTCTCAGGCACACGAGTTTTTATTTGAGACACGGCATGGTCAAGAAACAAAAAGATAGGGAAGGGGAAGAGACAGGCGTCCAGGGCGCCTGGGGAACCGGCACGGCGGAGCAGCGGCGGCGGGGCCGGGGGGAGGCCGCTGAGGCGGCCGCGGCCGAGGAGGGGCAGGCCGAGGCCGAGGGTGCCGCGGCCTCGGGGTCAGGCTCCCAGGCAGGAGGCGCGGGTGGCGGCCGCGGGGGCTGGCGGCGGCGGCAGCCCCAGTGCTGCCCCTGTGCGGCGCCCCTTCCCCGCTCCGCCGCGCACTGTTGTCATGGAGGAACCAAGATGGCGGCTCTGGCCTACAACCTGGGCAAGCGGGAGATCAACCACTACTTCAGCGTGAGGAGCGCCAAGGTGCTGGCGCTGGTGGCTGTGCTGCTGTTCGCGGCATGCCACCTCGCCTCCCGCCGCTACCGAGGCAGTGATTCATGTGAATACCTTCTCTCAAGTGGCAGATTTCTTGGAGAAAAAGTTTGGCAACCCCACAGTTGTATGATGCATAAATATAAAATCAGTGAAGCGAAGAATTGCCTTGTAGATAAACATATTGCATTTATTGGAGATTCCAGAATTCGTCAATTGTTTTATTCTTTTGTAAAAATAATTAACCCTCAGTTCAAAGAAGAAGGAAATAAGCATGAAAACATTCCTTTTGAAGACAAGATTGCATCAGTTAAAGTGGATTTTCTGTGGCATCCAGAAGTTAATGGTTCTATGAAACAGTGTATCAAAGTGTGGACTGAGGATTCTGTTGCAAAGCCCCATGTGATTGTAGCAGGAGCTGCCACATGTTCCATCAAGATTCACAATGGTAGCAATGAAGCACTTTCTCAATATAAAATGAACATTACCTCCATAGCACCGCTTTTAGAAAAATTGGCAAAGACTAGTGATGTTTATTGGGTCTTACAAGATCCAGTTTATGAAGATCTATTAAGTGAAAATAGAAAAATGATCACTAATGAGAAGATAGATGCCTACAATGAAGCTGCAGTCAGTATTTTGAATAGTAGCACCAGAAATTCTAAGTCAAATGTTAAGATGTTCAGTGTTTCCAAATTAATTGCTCAAGAAACCATCATGGAATCTTTGGATGGCTTACATCTTCCTAAATCAAGCAGAGAAACTAGTGCAATGATTCTTATGAACGTGTACTGCAATAAGATTTTGAAGCCTGTAGATGGTTCCTGTTGTCAACCCCAGCCTCCTCTTACTCTCATACAGAAACTAGCTGCTTGTTTTTTCACCTTATCTATTATTGGATATTTAATTTTTTATGTAATTCATCGTAATGCTCATCGAAAGAATAAGCCATGTACTGATTTGGAAAGTGGTGAGGAAAAGAAAAATATTATTAATAACCCTGCATCTCCATTAGAAATACTTTTACAATCTTTCTGCAAACTTGGCCTGATTATGGCTTACTTCTACATGTGTGACCGTGCAAATCTTTTTATGAAGGAAAACAAGTTTTATACCCATTCGTCTTTCTTTATTCCAATTATCTACATCTTGGTTTTGGGAGTATTTTACAATGAAAATACTAAAGAGACTAAAGTATTAAATAGAGAACAAACAGATGAGTGGAAGGGCTGGATGCAACTTGTGATTTTGATTTATCACATCTCTGGAGCAAGTACTTTTTTGCCTGTGTACATGCACATTCGAGTTCTGGTTGCTGCATATCTGTTTCAGACAGGGTATGGACATTTTTCATATTTTTGGATAAAAGGAGACTTTGGAATCCATAGAGTATGTCAGGTCTTATTTCGTCTCAATTTCCTGGTAGTGGTGTTATGTATAGTAATGGATCGGCCTTATCAATTCTATTACTTTGTTCCCTTGGTCACTGTGTGGTTCATGGTCATATATGTTACTTTAGCACTGTGGCCACAGATTATCCAAAAGAGAGCAAACGGAAATTGTTTCTGGCATTTTGGCTTATTGTTGAAACTAGGCTTTTTGCTGTTATGCATATGTTTTTTGGCATATTCTCAGGGTGCATTTGAGAAGATCTTTTCTCTTTGGCCATTGTCCAAGTGTTTTGAACTGAAAGGAAATGTATATGAATGGTGGTTCAGATGGCGGTTAGACCGTTATGTAGTCTTCCATGGAATGCTGTTTGCTTTTATTTATTTGGCTTTACAGAAGCGTCAAGTACTTTCTGAAGGAAAGGGTGAACCTCTTTTTTCAAACAAAATTTCAAACTTTCTATTGTTTATTTCAGTAGTTTCTTTCTTGACCTATTCCATCTGGGCTAGCAGTTGTAAAAACAAAGCAGAATGCAATGAACTCCACCCATCTGTTTCTGTGGGGCAGATTTTAGCCTTCATCCTAATAAGGAATATTCCTGGATATGCCCGTTCAGTTTACAGTTCATTTTTTGCTTGGTTTGGAAAAATTTCATTAGAGCTGTTTATTTGTCAGTATCACATATGGCTGGCAGCCGACACAAGGGGTATTTTGGTACTCATACCTGGAAACCCTATGCTCAACATCATTGTCAGCACTTTCATCTTCGTTTGTGTGGCACATGAAATTTCTCAGATCACTAATGATCTTGCACAGATTATTATTCCTAAAGATAACTCATCTCTCTTGAAAAGGTTGGCATGTATAACTGCGTTTTTTTGTGGACTACTCATCTTATCGTCCATTCAAGATAAATCAAGACATTAGGTTCCTAAAATCTCAAAAAACTTAAAACTCTTCAGGCTTACTTTGTATCTGTCTGGAGAAGAAAAGGATCTATCTGGAAATACAAATGTCTATGTAAATACAAACATGTGGCAAAAGAACAGTTTAGGGATGTCTGTTGAACAGTGTGGTTGTATATATCGGCAGTGTACATACCTGATGTGAAATACTAAGAAAAAATTGATGAACCAGAATGCAACATAGGAGTGCATGTGAAAAGTCTTTTCTACTGGAGCTATTTTCCATTTATAGTGATTTTAAGTTAATATATGAAGGCAGGGAAATGATTACCTTTCCAGTACAAAGTGTAGATGATATAATTAGCCTAGTGACACCACTGTTTTGATATTTACTAAATTTGTGGTAGTAAGTTTGTGCCTGTCTTCATTGTGGAACTTCTACTTCATTGAAAACTTTTCTACTCAAGAATGACTTGCAGTATTGTGTTCTTATGTGCAATGACATGGAATGATGAACAGTATGCCTTTAATTTATATGTATTCATGTTCTGCTTGTTCATGTTTGCTGACATGATTTTTGTCCTTACTGTGGTTGTCAGGTATACAAGTCTAAATCTTTGTACCCTTTGTCTCTCAGAATTGTTATAAGGCTCCATGACAGGGTTTTATCTTTGTTGATGTTGTCATTGCTTCTTTTTATAAAAAGGCCAAATTTTCCTTTTCAGTGCAAACATACACCCATTTCTTTTCCTTAAGCTCTAGCAGTGTAATACCAGTTACCCTGTGGTTTAATGTTTTCCCCTCCCTAATTAATTTTTGTATATTATTTCCAATGTTTGGAAAGTTCTTTATAACCATTTTGGTATTTCCTATTATCCCTCCCATTAAAAAAAATATTTATCAGTCTAAACATGTGCAGTAAAGATTCAAGTTGTTATGATGGAGATGTTTGACTGTAGTAGAATTTTAAGTAAACTGGTGACTTGGGCAATAAATAATTTTTGTTTGGTTTTTTTATAAGCTAACTGTTAGAGGTAAATGTTTATTTATCTGTTGTACAGATTTGATTATGATTTTTAATGTTTGAAAGATTTCACTTATTTGCTTTTACTATGTGTGAGGTAAAATATATTTTCTGTTCACAATATGTAAAAATGTGGAGTAATTTAAACAGTAAATAAACATTCTGTGGATGCTTATTTTTGTATTGGCAAAGGATCAATTAAACTACTTATGTTCATTTTTTTAAAAAGCTCGATCCGTTAATAATTGGTTCAGGTTTCTAATTCATTTCTTTAATTTCAGTGTGCTTTTTCAAACTCATTAAACAGGAATAGATCTCTAAGTTACAGTGAGTAAGGAATAATTTAGTTGTTAGTGCTTGTAAGGATAATCTCTTCTTCTACCAGAAAGTTTAAGCTTCATGGTATATATGTAGTTTTACTTGAAGATTTTTAAAATTTAATTATTATTTCTGTAGCACTGGGTTTATGTGCTACTGATATGTTTCCACTAATTGAGGAATATTTCTTGGACAGAAATGTGTGTTTTTTCCTTTTCTCTCTTCTTCTGCCCTTACTTAATCTTTTGACATTTCCCGGATAGACAATTGTAATGATTCATTGCTCTGCCTCCTAGACTGCAGCCTTATAAGTAGAGAATAGTACAGTTATAAATCAAAAACTTCCAAGTACTGTGATCACATTATTCTTGCTCATGTAGCTTGCCAATGAGTAGAGTGCATTTTAATTTAGCTTGTAAGTTTTATCACCTGAAAAAGATTCTTCCTGATGAAACAATTGAAAAAGAAAGATGACCAGTAACTTACATCTTTCAGTAGTGATTGCCATGTGATTATATATAAGCTTTTCTCTCTTATTTGAACTCAGGCCTAAAACTTAACTGGTAAGCCCTATTTCTTCATCACATGTTCTTATTTAATATACAAAATTATTTTTTTAGGTATAACTATATTTAATAATTAAAATATAGTATATTTATACTTAAAATTATTTAATATGTCTTTATAAGTAAGAGGTTATTGTGGAAGTGGGCACAATGATAAGCATCTGTGTATGGTAAACATCTTAAATTTTTTTCTGCATTGATTTATGTACTGACCAGTTTCTTTACTCAGTCATGAGATTCTTCAAATAAGATGTTTAAAAAATATTTGGATATGCTAAAATTGAGGTAAAAACCACAAAAGTTTCTTCACTTAGGCTTTCTGTAATAAAAATTACATTCAGAAATCAGCAAAAAAAAAAAGATAAAATTCTCTTTCTGAAACCGAATGTGATTCAAAACAGCCACTAGAGGACAGTGGTGACACTGAGGATGTTTCAAGGCAAGTGCTTAGATCAGAACCTCAAAATGAAAGCTGTTTTGTCAGGTTTTAAAAGCATTTGATTGATTGTTTAACAAATAGGGTGGGGTGAGGGAGTGGAAAGAGAAGAAAGTATTTTCTTGATCACACTCATGTGACATTAATGGGAAATGGCAGAAACAATATCACACAAGCATGTGAGCATTTGCACTGACACACATTTCCACGACAGCGGACTTCTGCCCGTGCCTTTGGGATGACAGTTGTAGGACCGTGATTCAGCACATATGATGTAATGAGGTCAGTCCCCCGATCCACTCTGTGATTTAACCCTGCCTCCAAAACGGCACAAGATCAAAGAGGCTGAGCAACCACAACACAACAAAACACAAATCACTGGCAGATGACCTTCTGGAACATTCCAAAGCAGCTGCATTGGTAGGTCCTTCTGTGACTACGTGTGTGTGCGCGCGCATTTTTAATGTAAATTCTGTCTTTTAGGATCATGAAGTCAAAATTATTACTTTTTTAAAAAAAAATTCCCACAGCTCTCTTTAACCCACACTATTTGTGGGAGGTGAGGGAGAAATGATTCACATGATTGCTAAAATGCGTGTGAAAATGCAGATAAAATGGTGACAGACATTGAAGCACTCAGCTGTGATTGTTTAAAAATCTTGCCATACAGAGGATTGGGCTGGGGATGGGGAGGGCACAATCAAGCATTAAATCTAAGGACTATGCAGAACAACAGACCTTAAAGCTGGAAGTATCTTAAGGTCCTGAGCATATAATATTTTCCATCATTTCTAGCCTATAATTTTGCTCTCAGCCATTTTAAGTAGAAAACTCTGTAAACTGTGATAGTACATGAAGATACATTTTCCACATCAGCCACTGCTAAATTGATCATGGAAATGTGACTATAGATAGGAGTTTGCAAATGTTATAAACAACTAAAGATCTGGGGATTCTAGGTAAACCTGTAATAGATAAGGCAGAAGTCAGTACCAACACTCTGATTCCCTGAAGCTGATCTCTGATGGCCAGTGTTGTGACTTCCTTAGATGCCATCCTGGCTCTTTGAAGGAAAAAGGTCTTAGACATTTTAAGCTTAGATATTAATGAAAAATATCAATGCCCTTGTTCCTTCAGAGCATAGTGACCAGTCCCAACTTGATGACAATAAAAGGGAATAAGAGTGATACTTAGGTCCATGACAGTTTCTCCAACCATCTGTCTGAAACATAGCTGCATTAATTTATTGAACATATCTACTCACATTATCATTTTTTTTGTCAGGAAATACACATTTTTATATGACCACATAGAAACGCAAATTGTTATCTAAGGAAAAATATCCTATAATGAGTCTTCCAACAACATTTTATTCGAACCTTTTTTTCTAAGAATCTATGTGACCTCAGATTTACCTTTCCTTTTTCCTCAGTAAAAGATTTCTGTGGGAGAATCAGGCAAGTCTAAAATATCTGGCCACTTAGATTCACTGGGGTCATTCTACTTAATAGAGGAGACAATTCCAAAGACTTCTGAAGAGGCCTTCACAAGGTACAGTGGTTCTGAACACCAAAGCTTTTTTGAATACTTGGTTCTATTATAGGTTAAGAACCCACTCCTGTGACTTTCAGGACAAGTTGTAAAATAAATTAGTCATATTCAAGAGTGAAATCTCAGATCCTAAAGTGCCTGTAAATTAGAGATGCTTTGAGACCCAATTAAAATGTGCAGTGGAATATATTTTAGTGATTCCTCTCTGAAGCTTCCTGGTCTTGCCAGAGAAGAGATATGCACCCCCATACTTCTTAATTGTGCCTTTTGAATGGCCTGACCATTTTATACTATAATTTTTGTACACACTTAAGAAGCATGGTCATGTCTCACACATTCCTTAATTGCCCAGGACTATCTTGTTCACTTGTGATTCACCAAATGTTGACTAAATTGATGAGATTGCAATGTAGAAGATAAGCAAGGGATGGGGTTCACGAACACACTTCCCTGAGTGCACTTCCCTTACATGGCAATTCAACCCTCCATTCAGAAGCAACACTTAGAGCCTCTATGTGTGGTTCTTCTTATTCACAGGTGTCTGTACTGCCACAGGCTGCCCCTATCAGATGTGCCAGCTGTTTGGCCTTTTTACCAATGAGCATATAATATTTTCCATTATTTCCAGCCTTGAGGTTCTTGAATACTGCGGGACAAAGTTAATTGATAGTCCTCAACTGGAGGCATTGATTGCATCATGCATAACATCATGCATAACATAGCATCTTTCACACTGGAGGTACCCCATATAAGGAAGAAGGAAGGGAGGGAGGGAGGGACAGAAGGAAGGAGGAAGGACAGACAGGCTAATTAGAAAGACATTAAGCCTCATTTCTTGAAATTTTAAAAACAAATCTGCAGACTGTTAATGTAGGCCACTGTTGTTCAACACTGAGCCCTGACTATCTCCACTAACTTCCTTCTCAATAATGCCATTTGAATGGTCCACATAGCTTCCATGATAAAAATTTTGTAAAGTTAGATGTTTTAAGAAGTTGGGTTCTTTGATTTCTTACCTGGTTTGCTTCTGTTTCTATTTATTCTCTCCATTCTTCTCTTTTAAAACTCCTCCATGCTATAGAATTTATAAAGTTACTTGAGCCATAGTTACTTTTAATGTGCACTTCATCAGAAGCACATGATGCTCCTATGTTAGGAGTGAAGCCTGCCTAGAGTGAAAGCTGTCAGACGGGGATAACATGCTACAACTAA